CAGCTTATTGTGTGTCTGTGTGGCTGCTGTAGGTGGTGTCCAGCTCCATTGTGGACAAGTACATTGGTGAGAGTGCCAGGCTGATCAGAGAAATGTTCAACTATGCCAGGGACCACCAGCCATGCATCATCTTCATGGATGAGATTGATGCCATTGGTAAGTCAGCGTCAGCTCTACAGAGAACGATAGGAAATGCTTTATCCCATATTTGGGAAATTCTTTTGTTAAAGTAGTAACGCCGTATTTCCAAAATTCAGATCATACTTAAAGTTAAGACGTACTGAAAACAGGAGCTGTCTTTTTATTTGCCTGCTTGTCACCAGTTTGAATTAAATTGAAGTACTTTGTAAAGACATGTCACAGGTGTGAGCTTCAATACTGACACAGCAAGCACAAAGTTCATTCAAAAAAAGAGTTGTGTACTGAGCATTTATTTACAGTGAAATTGTTAGAAGGGTGCTTGAGATACTTGTTTTTCCCTGTAGGTGGCCGACGTTTCTCAGAGGGAACCTCAGCTGACAGAGAGATTCAGAGGACTTTGATGGAGGTAACAGAAGCACCAAAACACCACTCAGCAGCACTCTTTGTTGTTTGAATATAAACAGCAAATATGGAACAGTGTGATCGCCTGTTTTGCGTCATGCTTTCATGTTGCAGCCAGAAGGTGCTCAATCCACCCAATACCCCAAGTGTCCAGCTTAGGTGCCGTTATAAAAACTAAAAAACATTTTATTGGACTTCATTTTCCATTCTACAGAATTGTATTGTACTTGGAGGGTGTCCTTAGCTGTATCAGTCCCTGCCAATAATAACTGCCAGTTATCAGTTTATAGTAACTCTGCAGTCACGTAGTGACTATCTACAGTAAGAAACATACTAAACCAAATGAATTTGAAAGCAAAGTACAAATGAAAGTATAATTGAGCCTTAGTGAGTAAGGATGCACGTTTTTACCCTGCACGAGAAATAAGCTCACACACAAAATCTCCATCAAATTGATGCAAAGCTTTTAAAGTGGACTGGTTCTTATACAGCGTGCCTCATTCGCCCATACACTTTCTATGTTTAAATACTTTCTATATTCTATATACTGGGGCTAGTGTCTCGCCTGCTTTCCCCCCTGAGCTACAGCATCTCCACTTTTGTTCTGCCATGTGTGACATGAATCAGAAGTACTCCAAATTTCTGGGCTTGTACTCACTATGCTATCCACATACCACACATTCCCATTTTTCTATACAGGAGACAAGTTTACCTGAAAGTAAAATTGTGTGGTTACAGTGTTGTAAGAGAGAATGTCTGTGATCCTAACATGAGCAATAAAAGCGTCCCGATTCTCTGAGTCTGTGAGATTAAAAATGCTTTTGGCTGCTCACAAGCAGCACATCAACTCACCCTAGATGCCCTTCCTGACGCAGCCACCCAACCCACCCCACCCATCTGTTGTTATTATAACAGATGTTAACACAAAGACATTAACAGCACAACACGCTTTTTCAATCGTCTGTACTGGGTCTGTTTAGGCAATAAGACATCACGTCAGTATGTCGGTTGTTCATTTGAAGCAGACCTTTCCAAACATTTGTTGTTTTTAACTTGACTCTTGTAGTCACCAGTAACATGGTTGCCGTTGCAGTGGACAAGTGCTTAATCACACAGAATACATGACGTCTGTGCGTTTTCAGCTGTTGAATCAGATGGACGGCTTCGACACATTGCACAGAGTCAAGATGATCATGGCCACCAACAGACCTGACACTCTCGACCCTGCCCTGCTGCGGCCTGGCAGACTGGACCGCAAAATTCGTAAGAACTTCTCCTGTTCAGCTTCTCTGTCAGCGCTATGTGAGCCCACGCAGGAAAACCACTTTCCTTTGTCTCTTCCTCAGACATTGAACTGCCCAATGAGCAGGCTCGTCTTGACATCCTTAAGATTCACTCCAGTCCTATCACCAAGCACGGAGAAATAGGTGAGTAGACGAGCTTCACCTCAGTCCTGCTGCACTTATCCAAATGTCAAACGGACTCTGTGTTACTTTGGTAGTTTGCTCATTTAAGGTGCTCTGCCTGGAAGTTTCAGCATGTTAACTTGACAAAAATCCCTCAGATGAACAACAGGTTGCTTTCCTCTTTGCTGCCTACTCATGACTTGTACATATCTCTGTTCTTTGAAGGCTTTTGTTAATGTATTTGTTGCAGAATAATCGACACGTGACCTCCGTTTTCATGGATCTAACTGTATGATTACTTTCAGATTTTGAAGCCATTGTGAAGCTGTCAGATGGTTTCAATGGAGCTGACCTGAGAAACGTGTGCACAGAAGCAGGTCAGATGATCATTCCTTATCAGATCTATGATGAGCTCTGAGAAGCTCTTCTCTCACATGGCTCTGTGTATGTTTTCAGGGTTATTTGCCATCCGCTCAGATCGTGAGTACGTAACTCAGGAGGACTTTATGAAGGCCGTGAGGAAGGTGGCGGACTCAAAGAAGCTCGAGTCTAAGCTGGACTACAAACCTGTATAACTTGTCTGTCCTTTTCTTTATTTTTTATTCCTCTGTCATGGATTTGCTGTGTTAAAGTTTGTTTGTTGGGAAGCGGTATTAAAAGGAAAAAGGAAAAAAAAATCCCTCCACCTTTAAGATTGCCAAAAGTGACTTTCATAGTGACGTTACCTGCTGTTTCCACTTATTAGTCGAACCTGCCTCAGTGTTTACACCACATGAAAGAGGCTCTGTCTTATAATCTACACTTGTATAAAACGGCTTTATGTCCACAAATACAACTGTTGCCGAAGCTGTGTTTTATTTCCATCGTTCAGTTTTCTTCTTAATTATTCACAACTGAAATGGAAATTTGACAAAAACATGCTCCTGTTAACTAATCACATCCACAGATGACCACAGAGGTGTTCAGTTTATGTTTTAGTCTGCTTTTAAACTTTTTCAACCAGTCTCTGATTTTTATCTAGAAGGGTGATATTAACCTTTGAAATGCATATTTTAAGATGGCAGCAACTGGGACATAATAATATGGACTAAACTTTATGGATCCATGGTGAAGGTCCTACTTGATTTAATTTGGTGTTATTTATATAGCACCAAAGCACAACAACAGTTGGCTCTTTAATATTGATTATAAAGACCTCACAATAATACAAAAAACCCAACAGTCAAATGACCCGCTATGAACAAGCACAAAAATAGGAAGGAACAACTCCTTTTAACAGGAAGAAACCTCCAGCAGACCATCTGCTACCACTAGTTGAGGGTGAAGGGAAAGGAGGCGCGCCAGAGAATAATAACTAATGAGTAACTAATGCAGAGTGTTGTATGAACACACAGTAATTGAAGAAGAAACACTTGGTACATCATGGGAAGCAGCTGAGACCAATTGGAGTGTAAATGGATCCAGTCCTAACTCTATGCTTTATTTCTAAAAGTAGAGAGGGTGTCTATGGAGGGCCAGGAGGGACAATTCATGAATTAATTTTATCAGTCAGCCTCACCAATCACAGTCAGGGGGCGGGGTTAACGCTGGTCGAGTCAACACCATTGCTTTGGCCTTTCAGCGGGCGTTTCTCACCGCCAACAACAAACAGAAACTAACTAAACTATCGAGTCTTTCTCTCGTGATGTTCGTATGTGTCATGCTCATTTCAGTCACCAATTCTGAATTATAACTAACATTAAAAACATGTTAAAGGAGGAGAGAGAGCAAATAAATCTGATTAATATCTGATCTTTGAGTTTTTGTTCAATAATCAGCATGACCTGTGTATACACACATAAGCTTTATTAAAATGGATAACATTGGTGTCCGTCATGTAGTAACTGTTTGGTTTAACTGTACCAGGCTTGTTAGTGAAACACAGACTAATATTTTATTGTGAATAATAATCATGAGGCTAAACAGGCAGTCCAGCTGCTGCCTCAGAGCCCTGTACACCATGGAGCGAGGACAGCATCTCCAGGATATCTTTCCATTATCTGGAATCGCTGACCCCAACACTGGGACCAGGATAAGAGGTTAGGAGCTCTAAGTTAACCCAAGGTTTCCCAGCATGGGCACATGAAAGCATCAAAGTAATCTAATGGTCATATCTGTGTTCATCAACATAAACTCATCCTTATTACTGCCAACTATTCCAGAGATGGGAAAACCTGCATCATAAAGAACATAAAAATATGGCAGTCAAATGCAGCACTTGTAAAAGAGATGAATGCTTCAGTTTGTTGCAGGTCAAAGTGAAATGAATGCGATTGGTTGAACGAGTGTTCGTGATGTGTGTTCTTTGTTATCTGCATTATTTTCTTCAGCGTAAGAGACTCAGCAGCAGATTAGAATCAAGTACAACATTCATACATTTAATAAATCACCAAATTAACACACGCATGTTCCTGTGACCATGCGACGCACTGATTTTAGTACAGCAGGCTGCACACTGCTCATATAAAACATTCCCCCATTATATTGTCACTTAAAACATGCTGTAAATAAAAGACTGAATGAAAATATAAAAACAAACGTCAAACATGGGCTCAGTCTACGTTTGATATGATAATGCCATCCAGAGTAAGCAAACAAGAAATTAGAGGTCATCAAGGTCTTTAAGTCTTACAGAAACACCTGCAGTTTAATTATCACGGAAAGATAAAGTATTATCATAGAAGTGAAAATGTATGCTGTTCCTTCTAATGCATCAAAGTTTTGCTGTGTAGTTTGACACAGAACTCGGAAGTTGGAGCTGGACAATGTTCCAGAGTTTAGTTAATGAGCATCAACAGTGAAACTAAACTCTGGCAAGCAGTTATGTAACAAGTTACTGTAACCAGTTTCCATGTTTTTAGTCATCATGTTTAGTAATTTATTACAATTATGTTATTATTTAAATTGCAATGGCTCTCAGGTTGTTGTTTTTTTACCCTGCATGCTCACACTACAGTCAGCTGAATCAGCTCGTTTCTGGGAGGTGGAAAATGAAGAGATTGACAGCTTTGATGAGTGCAGGTCTGGACAATCTTTTTATTGAATTAAAGGACAAGAAAAACAAAGCCAAAAATAACCTTGTAGCTTCCACTTCCACCTGTTTCTACCATAGAATCACCCCGGCCATCACTCTGGGCTGTTTTTCTGTTCATATGTCAAAAGTACAACACAGCTTGTATGCATGTTGTGCAGGACTGTAGTTTTAAATTATTAACTGGTAACTATAAGACAATTATGGAGTAACACAAAAGTGGTGAATATAGGTAATATAATGTATTACTTTTAGGAAGATTATCAAGTAATATCTAATCGATTACTTTTGTGAGTAACAACCACATCATAAGCGGTCACAGTGATGCCACTTTCAGCAAGAGGAGCCAGAAAACATCACAATATCCTGTTTGCGGAAGAACTGAGTGAACATAAGGAACTGTTTAGTGTAACAAAAGTACTGCAGAACAACCCGAGAACATCCTTCCATGTATGGTGGAGGCAGTGTCACTCTCGTAGAAAGGAAACTATCCCAGAGGCTAGCTGAAGCACTGCAGAAGTTGGGTAACGCTGCAAAGTCCTGGAGAATGTTTTAAAGAAAGCCACCAGACCTTAAAGGAGCACAGACAGGTCTGATCTGCTGCTAACCAAAACACCTGTCACACAGGCGACAGATCCTTGTAGTCATCTCTTCTATCATCTTCACCAGTTCACTGACAGTCATTGCTCTGTGTCAGTGCAAACGACTCCTGGACAAAGGCTCTACAGATGGGGCAGTGCTGGAAAAAGGACACGCAGCTGTCACACATGCAGGCGTGTCTGCAGGGCAGCAGCACCCTGTTCACTGCTGCATTCTGACACACCACACAGTCTCTGCCCTCCGTCCCCTCTGACCAGTCCTCCTCCTCCATCACTGGGATCTGATCCTCGCTCTGAGTGTCACTGGGTGTGAAAGTGTGCCCCGAACCAGCAGACCCAGACATCCCCCCGCTGTCAGCAGACATGAAAAGAGGCTGCAAGAGACAAGAGATAGGTTTTTCTTAAACTGCTGTAACAAGGCCCTAAGTGCTTGGCAAACTGGAGATTTTCACACGTGTATTGACACTGACAGAGACGACACAAAATATGTAACATTTTGCTAGTCTAAAGCCACAAGATCTGCCTGATAGGCATCTGCAGTAATCTGCATCAGGGTGAGAACTGCAAGAAGAGTCAGTGAATTCCTCTGAGTGTTCATCCTGCAAGTGACGGGAATTCTAGCTCTACTAAGAGAGCCTGCTCTTTTGGTTTCTAAGCAGCTCGTCAGAAGTTTTGTTAAGTTTAGGTAAAAAATTAACTAAGTAAAATGATGTCTATAATTAATGACTAATGTTTATTATATATAATGACTTATTAAAGTACAAAAACAAACATCCATCTCAGTTTGCCAAAAAACATACAATCCCTGATTATAAACTTTGAATTATTTACAGTGAAATAATAAAAGACAATCAAACAACTAAATAAATGTAACTGCTTAAAACAAAAAGAAAAAAGCTCTTAGTCCCATTGTTGACTTCAAAGAGACACATTTCATTCCTGACTGACACACCACTACATCATGATACATATTCCTTCAAAGCACACATTACAGAAGGCAGGAAGCACTGCATTAATGAAACCTGATTTACCACATGGAGCCTTGCTCTAAAAAACTGTCACATTTAAGACTGTCCTTGAAATAACTGTTTAAACCCAAACTTTTTAGAGCCATAATGTGGCACTACATAATAGTAACCAACCTCCTGTTGTTTGTATTGTTGGTAAAATAAAAAAAGCTGCTTTTTTGTTGTGCTGGCCGTGGCTGCAGCAATGACTCTAATGGTGAAAACCAAGGAAAGACTGTCCACTTTCACTCTTGGCCTTTAAACACAAGTGCTTCTTGATTGCTGGCTGGCTGCACTGACACAGGAGAATCCAGGAGTCACTGGGATTTATACTTCAGTGGGAAATGAAGTCATAACCGCAACCCCCTCTGAAACCATGGGTGAAAAATAACTGAACAAAGCCAACAACTATTCCGTTTTGTTCTTCTCATGCATTTTCTGGCCAATTCTTCACCTCAGTTTTTGAATTTGTCAGTGACAGAATAACAATGGTCTCAGTATAAGGAATAATACTAATAAGAATAATAGCATCAACCTAGAAATAACAGCAAAGTCCTGACAGTTTGATCAAACTGACATCAGAATGTACAAAGAAGTGGACCTTTTATGTTATTTTTGACATTTAATGGTGTCCTTGAAATCAAATGCATTATTATTATTATTATTATTATTGACCAACCTTTAACTCGTACATGCTCCCTTGTGAGGTGAGGAGGTACTGGAAGAGAATCCGTGCAGAAAGCTTGTATTTGTCATCAGGAACATGAATAACTATGACACTAGCCACCTGAAAGAGAAAACATTTACAATCACTTCTACCAGTTCACCATGTAAATCTGCATTTTTTTAACTCACTGTGAGTGTTGCTGTTCTCTGACTGACGGCTGCTCCCACTTTGACACACTTTAAGTTTTCTTATTAGATAAAACTCATCGTTAGGGTTAGATCAGACTGCTCGGGGAGTTCTCATAATGCACTGCCCACTTTCTCTACCCCCACGCCCCTCTTCATTTTGACCACACTGTTACCCTGAGTGAAGGCAAGATGGTATAGTGTTGCTTCACAGCAAGAAGGTTCCTGGTTCAAATCCCAGTTGGGGCCTTCCTGTGTGGGTTTCCTTCTCACAGTATAAAGAGCCTTAAGACAAACTGGAGATGTTTATAAAATAAATAAATTAAATGATTAAACTCACAATGTCGTTCACGTGTCTTTCTTGTGCCTCTTCCAGGGTCAGCACAGCTACGAGAGGGTAGCGCTGTCTTGGCAGTGGTCCAAAATCAGTGATGCCCTGATCAGCGGGGATCTGTGCGTGCCGCTCCGCTCTATCTTCACTGCTGATACTGAGAGAAGGTCAAAGACACTAACGGCAGGAGACATGAAGACATGCTTCATGTCTTCCTTCATAAGGCAGACATGAAGCATGAAGCTCAATGAGTCAAAGAGCGGAAATGTTAGAAATGATTGCTTTGACTGATGACTAATAACACAAACTTTGCTGCCACTGGCACAAGAACGTGAACAGACCACATGTAACAATTAGTCCAGTGCCAATCACCTGAATGGATCTCAAAGGTTCCTACAAGCGGAAACAAGCTCCACTGTGTGATCTCAGGGACTATGCTGTTATGCTGTAAGTGTTTGATGACCGGACCCTAGCCCACTTGGTCCAGCTGGGCAGAAAGAAAGGAGCCCCAAAAAGACAACATGGGCACGCCCACCCCCTCCAGGACACAGTGTTGGGGTCAGGTGCAATGTGTTTCAGGTGGAGGGCAGTGGCACAGGCCCTAGCAATTGGATACCCGGCTATCAAGGCTGGCTGCTGCAACATCGGTGTGCTCCAACTACAGGGGATCACACTCCTTAGTCTCCCTATGAAGGTCTTTTCCAGGATACTGGAAAGGACAATTTTTCCATTAGTTGAATCTTAACAGTGTGGCGTTCGTCCTGGTCATAGAACATTAGAGCAGCATTGCAGCAATAAGTCGGACTCATTTCTGGTAGGTGTTTTACTCCGCTAGAGCTCTTTGTCACTGATTCTCTTCATAATAAATTTTATGGACAGAAGTTCTAGGCATATTCAGGTGCCGGAAGGCTTCCACTTTGGTAGCCTCAGCCTCATCTCTGCTTTTTTTAGATGATGTGGTTCTGTTGGCTTTGTCAGGTGGTGGTGGCCACCAGCTTGCACTAGAGTGGTTCACAGCAGAGTTTGAAATAGCAGGAATAGAAATCTCCCATTCTAAATCTGAGGCCATCTGAGGCTGGGTCAAGGACGAGTTGACGCCCCAAGTAGGGGAGTTTAGATGTCTCTGGGTTTCGTTCAGGAGTGAGGGAAGAGGGGAGTGACACACAGTGTGAAAAAAGAAAGAAGAAATTTCTACACTCCAGCTAGACTGAACAACACAAGTTTAGATCTCACAGGTCAAAGATTAAGTCTAAACTGTTTGACAGAGGCATACCACTGAGATACTTGGTTAGCAACAAATAGGATACTGGAATTTCTGGCAATAATAGTAGTGGAGGTTCAGGGCTTCCTGGAAATGCTGGTGGGTGCTGAGCATCATGCCATGCTGGTGGGCATGTAGCACTCCTTGTAGGGTACTGACCTCACAGCCCCAGAAACAGCTCAGGACACAGGACTCCAGACAACAAGGTCTCACCAGCACACCGTCTGAACAGAGCAAAAACAGAAAAAGGTTCAGTGTTCCACAGCATCACCATTTAGAGTTCTTTCCATTGAACAGCAGACCACAAATCAAATTGATAATTATATAGACTACACAGTAGGGCTGGGCCATATTATACCGTTCACGGTAATACCGGTATAATGTTAGACAACGATAGGAAAATGAAGTATCGCGATAGAATATGAGTAAAACGCGCATGCGCAGTGCCTTTGTTTTCATACGCACATGGCCGATTGTTGAGTGAAACAGATGAACCAGAATTGGTTTGTAAAAATGGTGCAACTTCAGTGATGTGGAACTGGTTTGGGGTTTGTCCGTCAGATACACGACAAAGCACATTTTTTTGCAGAACATGCAAGCGGCCGTCGTTATTGTCGTATTTGTCGGACTAAGATGCTCTTAAATCTGGGAGTAATCTGGGTCCTGAACCCCGTATACTTCAGGTCAAACGAACACTGCAGCATCACTGAGAGTTAAAAACTGTCTAAATTCTTTCATCTTTAATACGATCAGCATTGCTGCTTTACCAGGTGTAACTATGAAGTTTAACTTCCAGGCATCCATGAAAACAAAATTTATTACATTTAACGGAGTTAGAAGTTAGGAGGAAGCTAGCGGAAGTTAGCTCGCTAGTTTCGCTAGTTACCTAAGCATGATATAGCATGTTCTGACTGAGAGATTTCTGAAAAAAAAATCAAACGTACAGCTCTGCTATCACGTCCAACATAAATGAAGACAGGAAACTAAACAGCAGTGACATTTGTAGGGTTACTGAAGTTGGGCTAGCTGGTATATAATGATGTGCTACGTGATCGCTAGCGACACAGCTATGTTAGCATAACATAAACAGTGAAGCTGGAGGACGAACACTAACACTTTTCCACTTATAAAAGTTAACGTGAAGGTTCTTGATAGTTAGAAACAAATGCAATCGCATGGCAGGATGCTGTAAACGGACCAAACTTCAGTCAGGAGAACTGAGATAATCCATCCACAATAAAAGGTTAGTCATTAATATACTGCAACAACATGGGAATAGAGCAGCTGCCAGAGAATTCAACGTTAATGAATCAATGGTACAGAAGTGGAGGAAGCAATAAGAATGAGTTTAATAAAGTTTGATTTATCTGACTGCTTTGTTTCGCTTAATGTGCCTTATAATCCCGTGCACCTTATGGTCCGAAAAATGCGTACTGCACACTGCAGTTTAATGTTGCAAAGCACCTCTTTTTAACTTCAGTGGATATTATACATGGTTATGCTCAGGATATGTCAGCCCATTTCTACTGGAAATGCCTTTTGGTTAAACTTTCAGCAAGGAATTTGCATTTGCACTGTTACATTTTTATAAAGCTTTAATGTACATAAAAACCAGCTTCTTGTTTAAGTGAAAATAAATGGTAGGTTGTCTTTTTGCGCTAGTAATGTTGTGGAGTTGTATTTTGTCTCGCATCAATTATATCGTCAGTTATATCGTTATCGCAAATTTTCAAATATATATCGTGATAAATATTTTTGGCCATATTGCCCTGCTCTACTACACAGAAACATTCTCTTGGCAGTCAATAGATTTACAGTTTTTTCTATTTAGTACATCCAGCTGGACACCATCCTCTGGAAACACACTAGAATATGAGGGTTAACAGATGTTTCTGGATGCAGGCATGGAAGTTTCACATCCCCAAATACTTTTGGGCCAAAAAATACCTTTTTCCAGTAACAGCATTATTTCATTCCTCATCTGTTCTCACCGGTAACACTTGCTGATCCAGAACCCAACTCCAGGGCGAAGGGATTGGTCACCTGAACCATCTGTTTCTCTGGTAAGCTGGGCTCTTGCTCATCATAGCTGCGAAGTATAACTGGAACGTCAAAGCCAAACCTACAGAAAAGAGGCGAGAATAAGCAGAGTCTCTCTGTCTGGTGGTGTTCTCGCTTAAATCTAAACCGATTCGATTAAATGCAGAGGGGTGCACACACTGGCTGGCTGTGTAGAAACATGCTCTTCTGAATTAACTGCTACTATGTTGACTGTAGTCTAGAACATGACACAGTTATGCCTGGAAATGTTTCTACAACCAATTATCAACAATCAAAAATCCAACTCAAGTGCAGATTCTGAACTTTATTGTAAAAGGATTGAACAAAAATAATGCATTGAGGAATTACAATCCTTTATACAGAGACCCAAATCTTTAGAGCTTCAAATGCAGGTCATATGAGCAATTTGTTATTTCTTCATCAGCTAACCAGATACAACGTCTGAATTGTTTCTAAGTGTTGCATGTCCATTTCACAGAATAACATATTCAAGAATAACAGGCAATTATTAGGTTGCAAAATGAAAGAAATTCAGGTAGTGAGCAAAAACTTCAGAGGAATAAAAACCAATTGTCAAGGAGAAAAAATGACAGATGGCAGAGTTCCTCAGAGTAAACGGCAGCCATTCACCATTATTATCACTGCCATTGTGTACACTGCTCCCAGTGCTAAGGCTATTTCTAATTAGGCACTTGGAGGCCTACACGACAGCAACGTTGGGCTTCTACCTAAACACTTTAGCAGCTTTGAAGTGATTGGAGGGGATTTTAACCACAACAGGTTCAAGACTGCGCTCCCCAAGTTCAAGCAATACAACAACTTTAAAACCAGAGGGGTGAACATGCTGGACTCTTGGTGTACACAAACCACCAACACACATACAAGGCAACCCCCTGACCCCACCTGATCATCTTTCCATTATGCTTGTACCTGCTTACAAACCTCACTGAAGCACATAAAGCCAATGACAAACAGAGGATGCAGCCTTAGCACTTCTACTTTAGGCACACTGAGTGAAGCCTCTCGGCGAGACCACATAAACATCCAAGAGTATGCGAAGACAGTAACCAGCAACACTGCACAGTGTACAGAGGATGTCACTGTAGGTAAGAACTTCACTACATGTGGCAATCAGAAAACCTGGAAGACCATAGAGGTGTGCTCCCTGCTGACACATCACTGCTCACAGCACTCGGTATTAACCCACCTGGACAGTAAAGACAACCACGCCAGACTCCTGTACATTGATTTATTTTTTCTCCTTTGGGCGGGGGATCAGAAAAGAATTAAATGGTAAGCCGCGCTACTAGAGTCACATGTCATATTTACTATCATCTACAGGTCGAGGCCTCTGACAACGAATATTATTTTGAAACATCACTAGCCCATTATTTTTTTCACCTCGTTGTGTGTGTGTGTGTGCACATTTGTGAGGTTGTTCTAGTAATCTTCATAATACCCACAGCCCTAAAGTGCACCCCGATGAGACCCAGAAACCAAACTTAAGCAATGGTGAGTACACTAGCGTGGATAACGCCAGGTAGTGTGGTAAGAACATTTTCACACCCATCACCGGAACACAAACATCATAACAAAGCCCAGAAGTCCCAGATTGATCGCTCAGTGCAGAAGCTATGATTGTCTGGCAGCTTCACCGAGGGAAAAAAAATCATCAAATTTGTTATTGCCCGTCGGTTCCAGTCTTAAGGCAGTCATTAGTGACTGTAAACATTATGATTAAAGTATCAATGGGAACGATACTAAACTCAGATTTTTAATTATGATAGTTTCTCCAGTTAGTTCTGAAACCGTGAAAATTAATGGACTGTAAAAAATAGTTTGGATTATTTTAATTACAGGTCAATGCAGTATTTTGTTCAACAGAAAATAAGCAAAATGATTGATAGACATGTTACAGCACGCTGCGCCAGACCTACATGCTATGTTATATCATGAAGGCCACATTCAAGTCGTTAATATATAAAGTCGAAGGGTACCTGTGTGGTGACAACGAATGTAAATTATATATCAAAGTGTGGCTAACTATATTAGCTAAATACAACTTACCAGCCGAGGACCATAGCAGCGGTTACAACGAAACAAAGCGACACCACACTAATATAAAAGAGCGGAGAGTACTCGTAGAGTGTGGCTAGAAACACCCCTGCCATTTCACATCAGCTTCAAGAATAAGCGTGTTTATTTAAAAAACCTCATATAACACCTTGGGTTCATTCCAATAATCCATCTTGCTTAGCAAGGTTCTCACTGAGACGTAACACGGAAATAGCTTCTTCTTCTTTTTTGTTTTGTATTGTATTGTATTGGTGGTTGTCAAACAGCAAAATGGTGCATTACCGCCACCAACTGGTGTGCAGTGAAATATCACAAAAATTTGAGAAAATGTCTGAAAAAATAAATTTGAGAAAAAAGGCAGAAACCTAACTTTTTTTCTCAGAATTCTGGAAAAAAAGATGTGCCCACTTTTATTTTTCCCCAGTGACTTTAATCCTCTTCCATAATTTGAAACAGTCTGATAACTTTCACTCCCGGAAGTATCTCTGTGGCTGTCATAGTAAGTAAGAGCTGTTCATATTCTCCAAATACTAAGGAAAGAAGCATCAGCACTTCCTTTAGCAGAGGATACACTGGACCACCCTTTATGAAAGGGGAGGAGAAAACGCCGCCCCATAATTCATTGTGACGGATCATCCGACCATTCACGAAAATAACAACAAAGTAGCAAGAAAGTTGCGCGTATCATGTAAATGTTAACTGCATTTTCCATTCATGCTAAGGAGGGATAAGAGTACTTTTAGAAAGTGAGTTCTGGCCCTGTGATTTATAACCGTAGAAGCAAAAAAATCATAATGGAATACTGCATTTTGTGTTTACTTGTGTTATCCTTCTCTAATATTTAAATTCGTTTGATCATCTAAAACTTTTACATGTGGAAAATACACCAAAAAAATATGAGAACAGGAAGGGGGTGAAAACCTTTTCACACCAACTCACAAACCTCAAGTCCACACCTGACGATACTGGCTGTCTGGGAGCTCCTCCCTGAATCACCAATAAAGCAATATGGGATAGGCAGGCTCTCGCTTAGACCAACAAGAGAGCGGGGAGAATGGCTTTGAGCTGACCAGTGGGAAACGTAACTGATTTTACGGCCTTCTGAGGAAGAGGTTTTATGTTTCAAATAAGTCAGACAAAGGGGGATTTCAGAAGGTCACGCTGGGAGATAAGCCTCTGTGATGACCAAAGCCAATTCAGAGCTGATTAAAACAGATGGTGGTGTCCTGCTGTGCTTATGATAAGGCAGGGTGTTAATTTTACCTGGCCAAAGATTTGTTATTTTTCATGCCTCTTTTGTCAGCGTTTTGATAACAGGGGAATTATAGCACCTTAATGCAGTTTTACATATGTACAAAGCTGAAGACTAAGAAATGGTAGCTGATACATTTGATATCGTAGCTTCCTCTGACATGGTGTAGCCTTTCTTTACGTGTTTGAAATGTTTTTCACTGTTTACTCTTTCAGACTCTGATTTCACCATTCAAAATACAGATGAATGTGTAATTGATTTTTACTGATGATGGTGTTTTAGACAACATTAAAGAAACAAAAATGAGACCATCTCTCAATCTCTCATATAACAGCTGGTCCGGGACAGCAATGTGTGTCTTTATTATGCTGCACAACGTGTTTGGTGACTTAAACAATGTTAATATTAAAGAAAGAATACCGTTCTATGTATGTGTATTTTTAGAAATAGTTTTATTTTACATTTGAATGTGGAGATAGATCAGTCTGAAATCGCCTTTTTACTAAACATTTTTGCTGACACCCAGAAACGAGGCTCTTGAAGACTTGCGATTAGAATCAGAGATTCAAATATCAGATGAGCTCTTAAGTGAGATAAATATACTAAGTGAAAATTCGGAAGTCCAGTGCTTCCCAAATTTTTGTCACTGTCAACCCTTAGGTAACCTTATACCAAAACAATGTAGAAGATAGTGCATCGATTAGGACCTCGGCTGCAAAGTTTGCATTAAACCAGCAATGTGATTATTCATTACAACAACCAGGACGAAATGCAGAACAGAGTACCACATCCTGCTGTATTTTTGAGAAGTGCATTCAATAACATGGAGATTAGACGCATTTTGAATTTTCCACTTCCAGATAATACTCCAAATTATGCCGAATATTATGGGAAGTGTGCCTGAGATGTAGTTAAGTTAGAATTGCGAGGTCATCGGCTGCAAAATAGTGTTTCTGCGACTGTACTGTAATAATGATCTGTCTGAATTTGACTGACTGTAATGTTCTCGCTGGAAGTTGGAGCTCCATTGTTACCATCAGAGCTCCTTCACATATTGATAGTTACTGAACAATGAAGTAATCAAAAAGAAAAGCTGGCATAGGGCATGACCTGAGTCACCATTTATGTTTCGCAATAAGTGTCCCTCAAGAGTTTAGCAACCTTCAGACAAAGAGTACGTCCACACACCATACTGCAAAAACCCTGTTTTTATTTCTATTTGAGAACCTTTATTACACCAATTAACATTTTAAAGCATTTCTGGGCACAAATGTTGTATGTGACCACAGTTATACAGGTTATACAAATGCCACAGGTCATTGTTCCGTCTGTTTGCAGCCATCTTGTAGTCACGAAGCTGCCAAGCCTGTTGTCTGCCCCGATGCAACCAAGCATCATCGTCGACCCTGATACACATGGATATGAGTGAATCAGGTGAATCAGGCGAGTCTTCACACAGTCGACCGAAGCATCAGATATGCATCAAACTGTGACACCTCATTCACCTTGTGATAGATCCATGTTTCCTTACTACAAGAACTACTGTGTGACTCTTCTATTACTCACATTTTTAGCATTTCAGACAATTTCTTTGAACAAATTGTCCCTAATGCTCAGGTAACCTGTAGGGTAACCGTCTCCAAATGGTGCTCCAGGAGATTGGTACAGCCGAATAAGGGGAGAATACATCTGCAAAACGCTGTTGTTATGCAGCAACGTCCGCCCTCTACTCCCCTAACATGTGAAGCTTTGCCCTCAGAGTGTCCAGAATGTATTAAATCTCATTTTAGTTGGTCTTGGACCTTGCTTCCAGTTTTCTTTCTTTAGGTCTAACACCTTGACTTTCTCAAAGGTAATTCCCAATAATTCACGCAGTTCTTTTAATGTGCGAGACATACACGATGTGTCCTGGTCAGTATTTCTTTCAGGATGCCAACTCAGAAAATGGCCTGAAATTGCACCTATGCAACACTCTTTGTAAAAAAAAAAAGGTGCACAGTAGCACTGCTTTGGGATTTCGTGTTGCACAATCCATCAGAACTAATACAAAGTGATATCCGCATGCACTAGGGTGAAATTATTGTCCCTTCTCACTCTTATTATCAACTATATTTTGTGTGTGCTTGTCTACCTGTAGCAGTGCAAAGCTCTATGACAGTCTGGAGGTGGACATAGCAAATATGACACTGTTGTAAATGAACATTGTAGCTGTGTAAGCATCCATTGATAACTGAAAGTTTTTGTTTGTTTGTTTGTTTACCCAGTGTTAAAGCAGAATATTAATTGAATAATTAATATTAATTTCAGGACTTTATGCATGACATTATGAACAGGGGCTGAGTCACCTAAAGATTTGATCCTAGAATCTGAAACTAGAATCTGAAACTGCATGTCATGTGCTGTTCAGCTGATAAACTTTCCTCATGGATGTAATATTGTGTGTGACTGGGGCATGATGTTTGACTGTTTGAGACTGGAGTTTGGGTTCCATTTATTTCACATGGCTTCTCTGTTTATGAGATATTTGCATACTCGAAAAAGTGTTGTGAGCACTGTTAACAAATAGGTCAGCTTGGCCAACTCTAGGAAGACTCCATTTCTGGATGATAGAGGTCACTGCGCTCACTGGAATCCTGGAATTTCACTTTGTCATGAATCCATTTCGGAATAAGGCTGTAACATTACAAAATTTGGTACGAGTGAAGCGCTGTAAATACTTTCTGGATCGAGCGATCCTTGAGGCGACTGTTGTTGTGATTTGGCGCGGGATAAATAAAACTTAATTGAACCGGATGCACCGTGCGATTCCTGCTATTACAAACAATTGTGTTTTGGAATTTAATTTTGACACGACGACAGATTAATAGTCAGTTTAGCAAAATTCTAAACAGTATAAGATGAAATGTCAGACGATTGTTTGACCTGATTTTGAATAAACGAGTGAAAAAACAGACTGATCTTCAAATTAAAGGTCTGTAGCTGGATGTGTAAGTTCACCGCGCGCAGGACGCACGCGCGTTGTGTGGGTCCTGCTCGCACGCGTTAGTTGGGTTTACAATTTTCGTCTTATTGTGAAAAATCTGTTTATTTTGAACGTTTGAACAGGAAGTTGCACTTTTCGTATTTTACCTAACACTAGGGAGCGACTGCGAATCCCATCATAGCTTATTGTGTTTATTCCAGCCATTATCAGAGAAAGGAGGATGCAAATGGGGCCAGGAAAGCAGGGATTTATCTTCACTTTGTTCAGCTTTAATGTGTAGCTATAATGGCAAGAAAGACAGTGAGTAGGTGCAGAAAAGTAAACCGTTAATCGGGTCCACTGGTCTGCTGGGAGGACATCACTGTGAGTTTTCCTGTGGACTCTAAAAATGAGCAGTATAAAGGAAAAAGGGACTATTCGGCAGCAGAGCTCCGAGAATAACTCTGTGAGCAGCAGTGAGTGGGACATGGCAAACGATGTGTTTGTGTCCGGTTTTGACGACAGCGTGTTAGCGGACAGCATCGGTGATGGGGACCAGGAGTCGGCACAGTCCAGCTTACTGGACACGCGTCTGCCCTTGGATGGGATGATGTTGGGCCTGGATCGGGTTGAATATCCTGCCTCATCCTATCTGGATTTCGAGCCAAACTACACCGAAAGCGATGGCAACCTTACAACCAAAAAGCGCATCCGGTCCAACAGCTCCCGGCACCGCGGTGACATCGTTACAGAGCTGGGGCCAGAGGAGGTCCGCTGGTTTTACAAAGAGGACAAACGGACGTGGAAGCCTTTCGTCGGACACGATTCTTTAAAAATCGAGATCATCTACCGGCGGCTCGTTGACCAGAACCAGGATAAGGCCCTGGATCCCAATGAAGCCGACGAAAAGGAGACAGCCGGGTCCTCTGAGCTGCAGCCGGAAAGCTCGGCCGTGGACAGTACAAGTTTCAGGGCGGAACCGGCAGTGCAACAGC